TTTCCATTGGTAGAATATTTCAGCTCTGTGTGTATGCCTGTTTTAGCTTCCTTATTCCATTTAGCAATATGACATTCAACTCAATTGTTGTATTTAGTTGGTGTTTATAACATTCTCGTTCAGAATATACATGAAATGTTCGCAACCGGACATTAAAAACAACAATTAACAAAAAACAAAACAAAACAACATGGGGTTTACAGAATAGAGAATAATCATATGCAGAACAATGGGTCAAATGAATGAAGATTAGTGAAAAATTGGCCCAAAAATATGAAATAGAGGATAATGGAATTCTCGAATACAAAAATTGGGCAAAATTATAAAAAAAAAGCAGAAAAGTGGCTTGAAAAATTAAAGAATGCAGAATTAAAGGGCCCAAATCCAGACCCTCAACCATTATATACAGTACTATTGTTGTTCTTCTATTTGTACACATTTAATAAGCTTGTAATATAATGTAATATATTATCATTTTGTTCTTTTAAGATTTTTTACTTTCAGTTCTTTTTTACTCATTTTTGCTCACCTTGCCCGAAGAGCCAGTGTGAGCTTTAACCATCACTTGGAGTCGTCGTCTGTCATCGTCGTCCGTCATCCGTTAACTTTTACAAATATCATCTCTTCTGAAATTACTGGGTTAAATTTAACTATACTTGACAAAAATCATCAACGAAGTATCTAGTTTATAAATGTGTCCAATGACAACGCCTGCCGACAAACATGGACGACATGGCTAAACAAAATAGGTGTATAATGTAATTTGTGTATATTAACTTTCAAACCGCTGTCGATAGAGCAAATCAAGCAGGACAAAAATGTTCAGAATGAAAAGATCTACATAATGTCCATTAACATCAAAACTGTCAGAGGACATCTAATGGAGTTATTGCCTTTTACTGACGATTTTTACCAATTATTTTGCATGTTTGCCTTCACAAACATTTGGAAAAAAAAATCGTTGTTTAAGGGCAATAACTACTTCAATGGTTTCAGGCATATCACATTTTTGTTGCTCCTGTACAGCTAATCATTTTGGCTTTTCACAGTTTCTACGTATCTTTAAGTTTTCAAGATTTTTAAAAATTAGCAAAAAATATTTTTTAGGACAGATTCTATTAAAACCCAACTGATTGTTTCGGTCACATTGGATTCCTTGTATATTATGTTTTGCTGTTCATTTTTAATCATCTTTTATACTTCTAAAGATCAGTTGCAAAAACCCGGCCGAAAATTCAACAAAAGTCGTCATCTATAAAGACCATTACTCATTTAGTAGTCGTCTAATGGTGTTGGTCATGTAGACTAAGTTTGTATATATTGCTGATCAATTTTGTTGTTTACAGTTTTTATCTATCAGTTTTATTTCTTCAATAAAAAGCAATTCGTCAAAAATCGTTATTCAAGGACCACAACTCCTAAAAAAGCCATCCAATGATTTGGGCTTTATTGGCATTTTTGTTGATATTGTGATGCTGATCATTTTTGCCATTAAAGTTTCTACTTATCCGTCATAATTTTCAGGATATTTGTCAAAAACACGAAAATTAGTAAAAACATTCCATTTAATATCAATATCTCTTTTAGGCAGACATCTGATACATTGTTATTATTTAAGAAATAAGAGGTGGATCATGACACACTTCAGTTGAGTATTTTGGCCCTGTTCTATTTTCTGATTTTCACGATATTAGACAATTAATGCATTTTACCATAAAATGACATTTTGTTCTTTTTTTGTTTTGGTGGCCATCTTTGTTTATTGATCAAGAAAAACACACAGACTTCATACTAGATACACTAAGGATAATTCACCACTTTTTGGGTTGTGATTAGTTCAGTTCCTTTGAATAAGTTTACGACAACGACGGAAGCCATGTGATGACAATAGCTCGATTGACCCTATGGAAAGGTGAGCTAAACAAGGAGGCCATTTGATTACTTTATGTTGAAATATGTTTTCAGTTCACGTAAATCTTGTGCTTCGTTTCAGTCATTTTGTGATTTGTAGGAGTTAGAATATGAATTTTGTGGTGTTATGAGGACTTTTGTCTACCCTTCGTCCTTAATTTTGGTGGCGTGAAAAACAAAAGCAAAACGCCATACACATTTTATTACAAAAATAGATAAAATATAGTAGCTCTTGTAGCGTTTCATTTTTTTTTCTATTTTTTTTTTAGAAACGAACGAGGGAAAAGAATGTTTATTTTATTATTTTTTATTTAGTTTGCTTTCCAAATATCATAGAGAGCTTTCATTTCGTCTTTGAATTTTACCAGGTTTAGTTCATCTTTCGCTAAGCTAAACTGTGTTTATGAATTTATAACATATATATGATGTCTTCTTTCACAATTTTGTCTTTACATGTATATATTTGTGTCAGTCTGTTTCTCTTATGCTTTTATTTAAGTATGATTTTATGCATTTTTGTATTCAATTTGCGCGAATATCGTGTTTTTTAGTGCATTTCATATCTCGGTGTGTGTGTTTTTTTCTCTGTAGTCTTAATTTCTATTAAAGATATTATACACTTATTCATAACGATTTCGCTACTGTTACATATACTTCACCGTTTAATATCAACCTTGTTTTAAGATTGAAAACAGATCCGAGAAATTTGTTAAGAAGAGAGGCGAAAGATACGAAAGGGACATTCAAACTCTTAAGTCAAAATTAAACTGACAGCGCCATGGCTAAAAAAGAAAAAGACCAACAGACAAACAATAGTACACAAAACACAACATAGAAAACTAAAGACTAAGCAACACGAACCCCAATAAAGATCTGGGGTTCTTTTCAGTCTAAACTCTTGTTTGATTTAAGTTTTTATTACCTAACCTTTATTGCTTTTGACTAATAAACAACAAGACGGATATTGCTGTCATTTTTTACCCTTCCAGAGCACCTGTTGTCACATCCGATTCTTAACAAATATTTTTCATTGGTAGAATAGTTCAGCTCGTTCAGAACATACATGAAATGTTCGCAACCGGACCTTAAAAACAACAATTAACAAAAACAAAAAACAACAACATGGGGTTTACAGAATAGAGAATAATCATATGCAGAACAATGGGTCAAATGAATAAAGATTAGTGAAAAATTGGCCCAAAAAATATGAAATAGAGGATAATGGAATTCTCGAATACAAAAATTGGGCAAAAATTATAAAGAATGCAGAATTAAAGGAACCCAATCCAGACCTTCAACCATTATATATATAGTACTTTTGTTGTTCTTCTATTTGTACACATTTAATAAGCTTGTAATATAGGCTGTGTTTCTTTCAAGATTTTTTACTTTTATTTCTTTTTTACTCATTTTTGCTCACCTTGCCCGAAGAGCCAGTGTGAGCTTCAACCATCACTTGGAGTCGTCGTCTGTCATCGTCGTCCGTCATCCGTTAACTTTTACAAATATCATCTCTTCTGAAATTACTGGGTTAAATTTAACTAAACTTGACAAAAATCATCATCGAAGTATCTAGTTTATAAATGTGTCCAATGACAACGCCTGCCGACAAACATGGACGACATGGCTAAACAAAATAGGTGTATAATGTTATTTGTGTCTATTAACTTTCAAACCGCTGTCGATAGAGAAAATCAAGCAGGACAAAAATGTTCAGAATGAAAAGATCTACATAATGTCCATTAACATCAAAACTGTCAGAGGACATCTAATGGAGTTATTGCCTTTTACTGACGATTTTTACCAATTATTTTGCATGTTTGCCTTCACAAACATTTGTAAAAAAAAATCGTTATTTAAGGGCAATAACTACTTCAATGGTTTCAGGCATATCACATTTTTGTTGCTCATGTACAGCTAATCATTTTGGCTTTTCACAGTTTCTACTTATCTTTAAGTTTTCAGGATTTTTAAAAATTAGCAAAAAGTATTTTTAAAAAAATTAGCAAAAAATATTTTTTAGGACAAATTCTATTAAAAAAACTGATTGGATTGCTTGTATATTATGTTTTGCTGATAATTTTTGCTGTTTATTTTTAATCATCTTTTATACTTCTAAAGATCAGTTGCAAAAACCCGGCCGAAAATTCAACAAAAGTCGTCATCTATAAAGACCATCACTCATTTAGTAGTCGTTTAATGGTGTTGGTCATGTAGACTAAGTTTGTATATAATGCTGATCAATTTTGTTGTTTACAGTTTTTATCTATCAGTTTTATTTCTTCAATATATAGCAATTCGTCAAAAATCGTTATTCAAGGACCACCACTCCTAAAAGAGCCATCCAATGACTTGGGCTTTATTGGCATTTTTGTAGATATTGTGATGCTGGTCATTTTTGCAATTAACAGTTTCCACCTATCTATCATAATTTTCAGGATATTTGTCAAAAACACGAAAATTAGTAAAAAATTTCCATTTAATGTCAATATCTCTTTTATGCAGACATCTGATACATTGTAATTATTTAAAAAATAAGAGGTGGATCATGACACACTTCAGTTGAGTATTTTAGCCCTGTTCTATTTTCTAATGTTCACGATATTAGACAATTAATGCATTTTACCATTATGTTCTTTTTTTAGGTTTGGTGGCCATCTTTGTTTATTGATCAAGAAAAACACACAGACTTCATACTAGATACACTAAGGATAATTCACCACTTTTTGGGTTGTGATTGGTTCAGTTCTTTTGAAAAAGTTTACGACAACGACGGACGCCAAGTGATGACAATAGCTCGATTGACCCTTGGAAAGGTGAGCTGAAAAAAGAGGCCATTTGATTATTTTATGTTGAAAAATATTTTCAGTTCACCTAACTATTGTGCTTCGTTTCAGTCATTTTGTGATTTGTAGGAGTTAAAATCTCAGTTTTGTGGTGTTATGAGGACTTTTGTCTACCCCTTCGTCCTTAATTTTGGCGGCGTGAAAAACAAAAGCAAAACGCCATACACATTTTATTACAAAAATAGATAAAATATAGTTGTCAGTTTCAGTTTTAAAGACCAAAGCTACAGTGCAATCGTATATCTAGATCCTTATCTACAGTAATACAAACATCAATTAGTACCAATTAAATGTAAAAACATATTTAAATATGCGAAATCTGTCTATAAAACGAATCCTTGCGAAACTGGAGAACTACATCTCTAAGCTTAATTCGTGTATTATGATATTTGAATCAAGCATCTAACTATAGTAACTTGACCTTTGTGAACCGAGTACATGTCTTCTTCTATCACGTACAAGAAAGTTCGATTTATAGAGGTTTCACTGTAAATATACAGTACAGGATTTGTGAAACTTAATTTTACTTAGTTTCAGTGGCACATGAACGGCCATCTTGCATCGATAGCAAAGAGGCAAAGCGTCAATTGTTTTAAAAATACATCCCGTTTTGTTTCTTAGGTCCGATGTATAATTTTAATAAGTATATCCATTCTACACGACTTGCATTACTGCAGCACACGATGAAATGCATTTGTAATCTAAACTCCGTCAAAATTGATTAAATAACTAGACTGAGTACTCAATTTTTTTTTTAGGGGGGACTTATTTGCCGAGTGTTGTAATACTGTATCACTAGCCTGTCGACACTTAGGTGGTGAGTTCGAATCCCGCACATGGCAGGTGCATTCTACTCTAATCTTAATTGAATAGGATTGTCAGTTTTCCTACCGAAGGTTGGTGATTTTCTCCGGGCACTCCAGCTTCCTCCGTTAATACAAACTGACCGCCACGACAAAGTTTTGAAAATGGCGTTAAACACCAATCAATCAATCAATAGTACTCGTTTTCAAACTATGAAACTATTTTATTCAATGTATGTGATACCAGGTTCTAGCTGAAATCTATCATGGTCTCCAATATGTTTCAATGAGAAAAAAGAATTCAGAATAAGGTGATGCGCTTGTAGCCAGTTAGAGGAAAATATTAATAAATTAAGAAAATAATTTAAGAATAATCAATATATAACAACTATTCTAGAACCTCATTACTTTGAAAATCGACAGCTAATTTAAAACAAATCCTTGAATTTGTTTACGCATACACGAAGTTAGTAGTGGGCATTTAACATAACAAACTTCCCAAAATCAAAAGAAAATATGAAACTAATTATGTACAAGTCTAACCTTTCTTCGCAATACCATGAATTACTTCAACATGTAGTAATTTTCCAATATAAATTTGACGCGACATTATATAGCGAGGTGAACCAGTTAAGGCAAAATTATTCAAAGATCGGGTATTGGATCTGATCTTGAAAACCCATACGGTAATGCCGAATTTTTGGCATCTCCTGTCCGGGACATGTTCCAAATTATATATCTCATTTTAGCCAATAGGATCTTTTCAAAATCATAATATAAACAATGAGAACCGATATTTTTTACATAATAATTTCAAGATGGCTTGAAAGTAATAGCTTCGCACCATAATGCGAAGTAAAGCGTTTTGATCGTACTGTGCAGCACCTTTTTATATTTACTTTTATCAGGAACACGTGAAACTAGACGACACGATATAGTAAAAAAATCATCAAATAAAAAAATTCTAGACTTAAAGTAACACATGAATCTCTCAAGTTTCTGTGAAGTGTAATGTAGATGCTGTTTGTCATTTCGTCGTTTTTCTGTTTGATCATGATGTTTTAATTTTTGTTAAGTTGTCCCCCTTGAACGGGTTAGGCCGGGTTATCTAACTATATAACCAGGTTTAATCCACCATTTTCTACATAAGAAAATGCCGTTACCAAGTCAGGAATATGTCAGTTGTTATCCATTTGTTTGATGTGTTTGAGCTTTTGATTTTACCATTTGATTACGGACTTTCCGTTTTGGATTTTCCTAGGAGTTCGGTATTTTTGTTATTTTACTTTTTTGAACCTTATACCTCTATTTCCGGCCAGTGATTTCACCAATGGTGAATATACATGTACACTTAATTTCACGTAATGATTATTATCATCACAACAGAAAATAACTCACGTTACCGAGATGAAGGATTGCAAACGTGATTGAGTAAAATAGTCAAAATTTGAGTAAAAACATGCAAGTTCCGTTACAACACGTGCAAGCGGTGAACTGGAAAAAGAGTGCAACAGTAAAAATCGTTAATGCAAAAACATGATTACATGGAGTATATAGAGAACACACTGATAAAATTCTGTACATGTTGCGTTATAAAAGTAAAAACTTTAGAACATATAAGGAATATATTTGTAGTCCACTTTGTATGAGTGAAAATACTTAATGGAGAGGCAAAGGGTAAAACATTAACACAATGATTAAAAGATTCAAATGTGTTATATGCTTTGTTTTAAAAGATCAAATTGCAGTTATTAGTCCAGCATCATTTACTTAGGCATATAGCTCTTTCAACACACAATAGTGAATACAAAAATTACGCGAATGAAATTAATGATAAATAAATATGATTTCAGGAATAAACAATAATTTAGTATTATATTAATTTTGTTGAACTACATAGACCTAAATAGTTATATTCATGTTTAGTAGAACACTTGTTTAACATGTTTATATTTAGATAAAAGAGAAACTTATCAGAACAACAAGACCAAAATGCAATCCACTTAACACATATAATTCCTTTCTCTAATTTCCATTGATCTGTTTTCCATTCATTAGAAACTGTATAACAAGGGTGCCTATCTCTAAGGGAGCTACCATTTGATTTTTATGGGGGGAGGAGTGGGGCTAGGATGAAATTTGAAAAAAATAGGCAGGACAGGAGTTTTGAATTAAAAAAAAAAGACAGGACGAGAAACTTGCAAAAAAAAAAGTCAGGATGACAATTTAGGTAAAAAAAAGTCAGGATAAACTTTTAAGAAAAAGGCAGAACGAATAGAGTGAAACATAAAAAGGCAGGACAGAGATTACAACTAAAATGCAGGACAACATTTTCATCCTAGCCCCGCCCCCGCACCCCCCATAAAAATCAAATGGTAGCTCCCTAATTCCCATTGTGTTCTTTTCCAGTCATTAGAAAATGTAAAACAAGATTCAGACCAAGGATCTCTTTTAAAGGGGTAGCATGCATTAAATATCAATAAAAATATAAATCATTGTTGTATTCGCCTTTTGAAAAAAATTCAAAACACTTTTGATTCGGAAACGGCGAATTTAAATATTTTCAATACTAGTACGCATTACTTCCGTGAGAAAATATCGCTGAGCTCATTTAGAATAAACTATCTACACTGTTTCTGCTTTAAACACGTCTATAAGTATAAATAACTTTTTGGTAACTATGGAGATTTTAAAATAAAACATCTGCATCCGCCAAACTGTTTCTCGAACTACCATCAGAATTTACTCGGAAACTTCTGCTAACTGGACGTCCACTCGGAGCATCTTTAGAATCATCGCTGTCATTTGAGGAATCGTGTTTGTCGTCGTTATCTGAATCACTGTCCATATCACTTTCTCTCTCATCTTTTTCATTGACAGAAGGAAGCCTTTTAGGTTGACTTTCTATTCCGGAAGTTTCCGTTTTTGGTTTCGTATCCTCATTGATATCCGGTTTCATATTTTCGATTTCACTATCAAGTTTATCTAATCTTTCTTTATGTTTAGCTTGAGAGACGATATTAGCAAAGTTTAGTCTCGATGCGCCACCTAGCTTAGGTAAGACTGCTCGGAACTTTTCTTTCGCCCTTTCCTTACGTAAATGTTTAAGTTTATTCAAATGTTCTGTTTTTCTCCTTACTTGTTCTTTAATATCGTCATTTTTCATCATTGTGACGACCGTGCGAATGGAACTATGGGTAAGTCGTTTCGGACCAAACTGTTGCAGAACAAAGTTCGTCCTATTTATCTCAGGATTCCTCTCCATTTCTTCCATATTGACGGGCGAAGTACTCATTGTTTCCTCAGCGTCAACAGCCTTCTGAAGTTTTGAATAGTTCCTCATGAAATTTCGACTTAAAGTGCTACGCGCCATTTCCGTCTTTCTTTTTGCAAGTTTCTTCCACAAATCTTTCCCTTTACGTTGTCCAACCGAATCGTCCCCATATTCAGATTCGTTTTCTGTTATGTCTGTTGCAAATGACCTCACGGAAGAGGTGTCAGATTCCGTTTCTTGCTTATTACTTTGAAATTCTCTCACTAGTTTCAAGCCCTCAATTACTTTTATTTCTTTATCTGTATCTTCCTCATCAGATACGAAGATATTACCTAGCAGTTTCTTTTTGAAATTTATTTCTGCTGAAGGCGAGGCAATGACGTGTAAAAGTGTGGAATAACGATGAAACAGCATGCAAACAAATTGTACTAACAACATTATGCCAAACACAGCAGTAAAAGCGAATGAAATAGGCTCAATATAACCCTGACCATACCCTTTTTCATTCTTTTCCTTCCCATTGTCACATTTCAATGAAATAGACAATGACCCCAGCTCTTGTTTGTTTACTTCCGTCAACGTGTAAACTATTGTCACGAAGAGTGCATTCATTAGAAGAAATGCCAAACAAACTTTGTTCCTAAGTTCTCGCAAATCTTGTTTGATCTTCTTTTTAACTTCGTTTGACATATCCAATGGTTTCAGATATTTTTCAATAAATTTTTCCCAAAAGTTTACTTCATTCGTAGTCATATACTCAATATCACCATATCGAACATCAGGGTCCTCTATCCAGAATGGACAAACCAGTTCATCTCTAGGCTTTTCTCGTTGCTCTTGCCTTGCCAACAGAGGATTGTCTGAAATGACAAGGCTAACGTTAAGAATAAGATAAACAAAAACAAAAAAAAACAGAAAAACCCAAAGGACAAGAAACTAGAAGCTCATAAGAACCTGAATTTATTTCCTGACAAATATATGCATTTTTTAAAATCTATATAAAAAGAAGATGTGGTATGATTGCCAATGAGACAACTCTCCACAAGAGACCAAATGATAAAGAAATTACAAAAATGTAACAACTATAGGTCACCGTATGGCCTTCAACAATGAGCAAAGCCTATACCACATAGTCGGCTATAAAAGGCCCCGAAATGACAAATGTAAAACAATTCAAACAAGAAAACTAACGGCCTTATCTATGTACAAAATAATGAACAAAAAACAAATATGTTACACAGCAACAAACGACAACCACTGAATTACAGGCTTCTGACTTGGGACAGGCACATACAAAATGTGGCGGGGTTAAAATCGTTTGACAAATGTTTGAAGCGCCAAACAAAAACACAGAGTGGACGTGGACGGGTACTTATACATCCCCACAACTAAAAGACACTAAAAACAGACATGAGAGCACTCGCAGTTACTGACAACTAGTTCAAAGCCAATAACAAGTAATAAAAAAAAAATGAATCTAAGACTAATATATCATTCAGTACACATCCAAAATCTAATGGATTCAGTGTAAATGCGTCATAAACAGTCAGAGAAAAACATGACCTTGTATAATGCAAAGATACAGGTATCGACAGTTTGTAGAGCCATGAAAGTGCATATGTATATAAGAATAATATTTAGTTTGATTTTAATTTACTGATAACAAAATCAATATAAATACCAATAAAAACAATATTCAAAGTTCTTATTACAGTGTTGAATTGGCACCCTTTTAGATTTAGTTTATTGAAGGATCGATAAGTTTACCCGTTCACCTTCATTATGATAAAAAAAAGTATTAAAAAAAATACCCAGCTCCAAGGTAAATTCAAAAAGGTGGAAGTCCATAAAACCTGACTAAATCATGAAAATGAAACGCTCGACTATATCACTTAATGGAACGAATGGACAACACATTTCATATTCTTAAGCTGGTATAGGCATTTTCCGAAGAATTTTCGAATCAAAATTCAGATTTTGTTACATAAGCAAATTATGTATTTACAATAACACATTTTTGAGAAGCACTGAAGTAAAATACAATCATTTCTATGTGTCAGGATAAATCTATTTATTTAAATACAAGTCAGGATCCCTTTGTAAATTTTACAGACGCCATCACGAGTTGGTTGACCGTTATGGAATAACCGTTTCACAGATGATATCGGATATGTTCCTTATGTCGTTACTACAATACTCTTCCCTTTTTACGTATGTGACCTACCGAATTAGACTATTTACCGGATTTGTAAAAACATGAGCAACACGACGGGTGCTACATGTGGAGCAGGATCTGCTTACCCTTCCGGAGCACCTGAGATCACCCCCAGTTTTTGGTGGGGTTCGTGTTGCTTAGTCTTTAGTTTTCCATGTTGTGTCATCTGTACTATTATTTGTCTGTTTGTCTTTTTATTTTTGGCCATGGCGTTGTCAGTTTGTTTTTGATCTATGAGTTTGACTGTCCAACTGGTATCTTTCGTCCCTCTCTTATACAAAAATATTTTCAAAATTTCCACCTCCCCTTCTCGAATCAATTAATCCACAAATAAACATTCATCACAATATCTAATTCTCTCTGAAATGATCTCAATTTAGTAAATCAAAGGGCAGAAACTCCAATAAGTCGTCAATTGACAGTTTCATTCTGGCGACATATTTATAAATCATGTTGACCGTTATAATATATCTGTTTAACATATGACGACGGACATGTTCCAATTTTCGTGACCACAATATCGTCCTGTTTCCGCGAATTTGACATCACCGAGTTTGTACTAACATTAACTATACGACGGGCGCAGCGTGAGGAGCAGGATTTTTTTTACCTTTTCTTGAGAACCTGAAATCATTTCCGGTTTTTGTAGGATTCGTGTTGCTCTGCTTTAGTTTTCTATGTTGTGTTTTCTATACTGTTGTTTGTCTTTTCGTCGTTTTTAGTTTGTCTTCGACTGACGAGTTTGAATGTCACGCTGGTATCCCCTGCCTCTTTTTTCCCTCATAAATGCTTGCTTTTTACAATTTTTCATATCGATACAGTTGTCAAGATGATAGACAATTGTCTTATATTGATCAAATACAATAAAATTGTTTAAATAAAAGAAGAATGTGTCTGAGGACACGAATGCCCTCTCTCAAGCTTTGCAATTTTCCAAGTTAAAAAGGGGCATAACTCTAGAACGGTAAATGACTTACAACCTAAATTCGAACTCTGTCTGCGTGTTGTGGTTCTAAGCATTGTATATGAGTTTCCTAACATTTTGATGCGACAAAATTGAGTAAAAGTGCGGAAACGAAACAAAAATGTAATTTTCCAAGTTATAAAGGGCATAACTCTAGAACCGTAAGTGACTTACTACCCAAATACGAACTCTGTCTGCAAGTTTTGGTTTTTTTTAATTGTGTATGAGTTTCAGATAATTTGGGTGTGGAAAACTCAAGTTAGAGTGCGGAAACGAAAAAAAATTGCAATTTTCCAAGTTAATAAGGAGCATAATTCTAGAACGGTAAGTGACTCACTGCCCAAATTTTAACTCTGTCTGCGAGTTATGGTTCTCAGCATTCTGTATGAGTTTCATAAAATTTGCATGAGGCAAACTTAAGTTAGAGTGCGGAAACGAAAATGGGAAAGAAGGACGGATGGACGGTTAAGGGTAACACCTAATGCCGCCATTGCCTACGGCGGGGGCATAAACATATAAGTGATTTAAAGGCAAGGCATCCTGCAAGCCAATTAATCGTGTTGGTCGTACTACTATTCTTAAAGAAGTTTTATCGCGGTAGTTTTAAGCCGTTCAAGACAATAAGCAAAAACGTTTGAATTGGTCAAAAATAGTTATTTACGAATAATGTCTCCTATAAGAAGACAATTGATGGCTTCAGTCATGTAATTGTTTTCTCGTATTGCTTAACATTTCTACTGTAAACAACTTCTGCCTATTTACTTTAACTTTCAAGATAATACAAAAACACTACAATTAGCGTAGAAAATCATCTTTTAAGACCATTGACTCCAACAAGGAATAGATTGAGTTTTTCAGTCATATTTGTACTATTCGTAGATCGAACAATTATCGCTTAAGAATTTTACTGCTTACGTCATCATAGGCCTATATCGATGAAAAAAAAACATACCGTGTAGTAAGATGGCGTTCGTAAAACTTTCGAAGGGAGGACTCCAACTTAACAAAAAAGAGCCCTTGGGTCAACAAGTTCCTTGAAAGTAGTAACCCTCCATAAAGGTAATCAATATAGGAAACGAAGCCCTGGAATATTGTATCAAGTGGAAGATATATACAATTGTTAAGTGAAGATAATTTGTAGAGGGTTTCCCAATCATCAATCCTCTTCAAAATAAATAGCCCTGCGGTTTTTAGAGAAGATGATTTTTTGAAAATTGGCCGATCAGAATAAAAAATTTGGTATAGCAAACATGGGTTTCGTCAAATCGAACCCAACTGAGAATCTTTTATTAGAACCCGCTATATACAACATCCCTGTCAAGTTTGGTTAAAACTTGCACAGTGGTTTCAGAGAAAAATAAGAAAATGTGCAAAGTTTACTGTCGACTCACAAAATGTTAACTTACTGATTACTTCCCCTGCTCCTTCGGAAGCTCCTGGTTGGCGAGAAAAGGGAGTGATATCTTCTTTTGTGTCATTTTGTTTGAATGATGTCACGCTGCGTTGACTGAATGATGTTATTCTGGTATCCATGTCATCAAGTTTTTCGATAATTGCCCGAAGTCTTGTATCTTCTGTTTCAGTTCCAGACTGGGGACAACACATACATCTGTTTAATGAAAAATGAGAATTAGCCTGGAATGCTTCGTGTTTCACTTGGTCTTTTTCGGTGAACAAGTTCGTAAAGTGCTGTAATACCACAATATTAAATCAAACTTAAAAAAAACCAAAATTACCTGAATAAATTTCCGAACGAGAACTGATAATCGGATGTCTTTTTATCAGTAGTTTGAGGGCCCATAACCCAGCTGCGAATATCATCCAATCTAGTCCGATTTTGTGGTAAGCTCGCTGGTGTTCCAGCTGCCGTTCCGGTATCTCTTGTTCCCCAAGAAATATCGTCTAGGTTTCCCAATGCGTATATCATCATTAACATGGACATAGACGGGATTGCCAAGAAATACAAAAGGCCATGCGATAAACACCATACTTCCTGAAAGAAATAGTTTTAAAATACTATAAACCAACTAATTTTCGCGAGCGATTTATTTTCGCGACTTTTGCGAGTGGAAGTTTATCGCAAAGATAAATCGTCGCGAAGATGTAAAACTTGGATCTTCCCTTAATTAATACATCTAGTAAATTTGAAAATCTTGAAATTAAATCGCCAAGAAGTGGGGTAGAAAGGGTTAGTCGCGAAAATAAGTTGGTTTACTGTATGTATTGGTTTGATTTGTAAAACATATACAGTAACAGTTTTTTCAACTACCTCAATGGTTTTAATTGAAGTGTGCTCGCTTAGAGTGCAGGTTTTAGGGTTAAATTCCTTATCTAATCACACGAACGTTAAAAAGATTTATTTGCTATTCTGCTTTCCATGCTTTCATCATATGTCATTTTGTAGTGGACGACTCGAAGTCAGAGTAAAAGTTTCATTTTGACATGACATGTCTTTGTGCTGACTGTAACTTTGTTAGCCGGGTTGGTATTGTAATGCACATCACTATTTCATATTCAAAATATATCAATATGTTTTCTTACGGATTTGGACCCACTGGCATTAAACACACATCAATTTGTGCGTTTATACTTACATGAGCAACACGACGGGTGCCACATGTGGAGCAGGATCTGTTTACCCTTCCAGAACACCTGAGATCACCCCACCTCCCTTAGGCAAAGTTGATCTTAGATGGATTTGATTATTGTTTTAGATACCTTTGGTTACATAGCTCTTAACGAGTTTTTTTACTTATATAAGCTAGGCTTTCAAATATTTGGGCTTGAGTTTTCATGATGAATGTAAATCCAGAAAAGAGCTGCAGAAGCATATTTTCATTTTTTAGTGAAAACAGTGGGAGATCCTTAAATAAATGATAGTACGAAATAAGAATCAGATGTTTTTTTTAAAGAATAGCAATAAAAAGACCTGTAAAGATCGCTTCTTTAACCCAACATATTACGATTGATTGGTAGATTGTAGGTGTTGAACACCTTTTAGCACACATGACCGGTTTATATTGGTTGAGGAAGCCCCAAAACCATCGACTGTCTGCAGGCAAACTAGTAACCCTAGTCAATTAAGATTGAAGTAGAACGCACCTTGCCACTTGTGGGGTTGAACTCACAATCTCAGTGGTGAGAGGCTAGTGAACACGGTTTATGAGCTACCCATAACTCTCGGCCACCGAGACACCTTTTTCATTACGAATTTCACATTACAAGAGTCTGAACTAGAAAATACAGATGCATTTGAAATTCAAATAGTTACTTACCTGTGGATGCAATAACGCTGATATCACAAAGGCCGAAGCGACAAACACCAAGAAAAACGTTGTAACAGAACACCATTTAGCTTCCACAGTTTCTTTAAGGAGTCCAACTATCACAATCATCATCAGAAGAGCGTAAACTGTAGACAATATCGCGGCATAACTAAGCTGAAATTTGAAATTATCATCATGAAAACTATTGCTGTAGACAATTTCGTATGAATATCTGTATACCCTATAGCTAATATATGAGGACATTTTTGCTATTTATAACTTTCTTTTCCTTGCTGGTGATGTTTTATTTGACCGTAAATTTTAACCGTACGTTGTCCAAAAAATCTTTGATTTATTTGACAACACTTTCTTATCAGTAGTCAGCACTTCGGTGTTGACAAGAATTATCATTGATATGGTCATAATTATCAATCAACTGCTTATAAAAACTTGAACTTTTCGAAATACAATTAATGGATTTTCTACCCAGCGAATAGAATAAATTATAAGCTGTATTTGGCAAAACCTTTTGGCATTTTGGGTCGTCAATGTTCTTCAGCTTCGTACTTTATTTGGCCTTTTTAACTTTTTGGATTCGTGCGTCACTGATGAGTCTTTTGTAGACGAAACGCGCGCCTGGCGTACACAATTTTAATTCTGGTATCTAAGCTTATTTACCTGAACCTCTTTCTTGGAAACAAAACAAAGAACTACCATGATAACAACAGGTACCAGATTGATGACAAATGCCGTCCAGGGTTGAATTGCAGGAAATGCTGTATACAATGCACCTGCAACAAATGGAAACTTACATCAAGCTCAAAGTATTGAGTGCTTTAACTAACAAAATGCTCCAATGGCGGATCCAGGGGGGAAGGGGAAAGGGGGGGGGGGGGGCTTCCGGGGGTTGGAACCCCCCTTTTTTTTTGACGATCAATGCATTTGAATGGGGACATATACAGTCGACTCTCGTTATCTCGAAGTCTGCCGGACCAGAGAAATGTTTCGAGATACCCGTAGTTCGACTCAAACGAAAACCGGAAGTTTGACAGACCAAGGGACACAACTCTTGATTAGACTGGTAAAGCTAAAATAAATCTGAATGAATATGGGTAGGGGATCGCTGGTCTGGTCTCAGATCGATGTATCTGTATGTTATGGTTTTTTATAATAATATTTTTCAACTCTTATTTATTTCTTTGTACAGTTATAATTTTGTCTGGTGGTTTTTGAGCCCAGAGAGTAATTTCCAATCGATCTAAGCGTTATTTAAAATTGACAAAATTGTTCATTCTCGTATACAAGAGATTTAGAAAATTAAGATTTCTTATCTGCAAGAGAAAATAACCTAAGATTAAAGACGCCGATTGAATAGTTTTGCGTTGATCACCAACGGAAGTCTTATTCATTACTTTAAATTGATCCGGCTATTGTTTTAGGTCTATTTTAGTCATAAAGCTATTCAAGTGTTTCGGTATATCAATTCTTTGCTTTCAAATATTTGGCTTTGAGCGAATAAATTTTATCAACTGGTATTTTCATTTATTCTAGAATTAACTAATGTTTGTGATTACCTAAGACCATAAGCAATATAGTTCCAGGTGTGAGGAGAGATGAGGCAAGCAAAAGCATCTGATATCCAACACACAAAAGTGATATATCGTCATTTTTTTCTGTGACATTCTTCCAATCCATCAAGAGATCTATGATGTTTGCCATTGTTGATGGAGACCAACGACGACGTTGATTGTAAAACTCGTAAAATCCTTCCGGTGCAAAGGTCAAAGCGTCAGACGCTGCTACATATTCAACTTTATATCCTTGCTGGAGCAAAAGTGTACACAGCCATCTGTCTTCACCTTAAATTTAAAATATACAATGTATTCTATGTTTTAGGTTTTGGAATAATAAAATCTATAGAATTGTGTGGTTATATAAATGACGTGGGAAATCTGTTACTCCGTTTTTACTTTTGATTGAGTTAGATAAAATAAATTGTCGCATTGTATCAAACAGCAATTTTGACATAATACAACCATCATTGTGATTATATATACTAGTAATACAATATAAATACTAACATCTATGCAGTCATGAATGAATAATTATTTAATAATTTTTGAACACAACTGTCACAATTATTCTAAAAAAAAAATGTACTTGACGAAATTTTGCATCAAATGCTTAAAAGACAGACAACTTTTCCAAATGACATATACTAGTGAGCTGCTATTCGCCGAGGAAAAAATACTTGTTCGACACAAATATAACTATCTTTAAATACTTTTGCTTTGTCGACTAGTTACGCATTACATGTACAATTACAATGGATATTCGTTTTGGATTTACCTTGATCATACTGAACATGCTGATACGCTTCGGTTGGTAATTTTGTATATTTAGCCATGACATTGTCGTCCATCAATGAAAAACCTCTGAACAAACTAAAACATCCGGGACTGCATAACACACATCCAATCATATTCTCTGCTGCTTTCTGTAGCCAATGACTTACGGCATATTCGAATTTTTGGTACCAAATCATCGGACCTTTGAATGAAATACAATTTGAGTTGCAAATCAATAAGATTGCTACACATTAGTGTGATTTTATCGTAAATTTATGATAGAACTCAATTTAAATAGTGAACGTCATACAACTAAATACAACGCACAGAAGGAGAATATACATTTGTAGTCTTGACTACATTGAAATCAAATAAAACCAAATCATTCTGCTTTGATAATTGTGCAGATATGTATATCTTAATTCCAGTTTCCATTCCAAAAGATACATTGTAAGCGATGCTAGATTAGGGAGAACTCCTTTAATGTTTATAAACAAATAGTAAGTAGACTGTATGTGAAAGAAGTACTAGTATTTTATTAACCCTGTCTCTTTGCCTGCACCTATGAGTTAAATGCATTCACAAGCTACCTCACATGTGAAGATTTGTTTTCATATTTCTAAATTCCCTGCAGCTATTTATAAGAAAATGCTGCTAAAAGCTGCATGTTTGTTGATTTTGTTTTTTAATTTAATATTTAAACTTTACAAGCTTTGTTACAGATTTTTGTTTAGTTTTCAATTACCTGCACCTATCGGATGAATCCGTCCACAGGCTGCTCCCACGTTGAGATTTTTTTTCATTCGATCAACAAGAAGCTGTACTGCAGACGGTTGAAAATCCACATCTCCATCCAGAGCCAGGATAAATGTATTCTGTGCAATTATTTCTTTGGCTTTTTTGCTTTTCTTTAAGTTCATTAGTTTGTGTCCGAGGAAATAGTACATGTACATGACCTATACAATACAGACAAAACTATGTTTAATTCATTTATACATTATGTACCAAGCTCGATTACAGCGAGAAGCTGAAATACAATTGTTATATTCAAAAGCACCATGACATGTTTTCGTAACCATTTATTTCAAATTATAGGAAAAGTATCAATCGCATGTTTTCCCGCCGATTCTGTTATTTCATTTGTTCTTACAAACCTAATGTTCTACTAATTTATTTTAGTTTATAGACATTCTTAACATGTTTTGTTTATAATCAATGAATAGTAAGATCATGATTCATCATTATTTTTTTTTTTGGCAAATTTGAATAAAAGTTTTTGTTTTATTTTTGTAGTCCATTTTATATAAATATGTTACCTGGCTCCACCTTTTTTTATGACGAATTTTCTGTTTGTCCTTCAAATGTGCAATTATTTTGTTTCCACCTGGCAATTTCCACTCCAGCTTACCTCCATACGGCGTTGGTATCTTTGTTGGTGGCTTGATTTTGGTAATAACATTGTGAACAGCTCTGAATTAATAACATTGTGAACAGCTCTGAATTAATAACATTGTGAACAGCTCTGAATCAATTACATTGTGAACAGCTCTGAATTAATAACATTGTGAACAGCTCTGAATTGATTAAAGTTATTTTTTCAAATATTATCATATCAAAAACAAACAAAACAGTTATATTTCTTCTTATAAATATGCACTCTTACTACGAAACCAATTGGCAAAAAAATGTAAGTGTTACACTATATTAAAATAAGTTACTTTGTAAAATCTTAGCACAATATTCGCAAAATATAACTAGTTACGGAATACCAACAATGATTAAGCATTTCGATTTGTAAATCCAGAAGACTTTGAATAGGCCTATTGATGCGGCATACTGTTAAAATTTTGTGATCATGTCACTTTGACAATTATGTAAAAATTCAATATTGTTTGAATCGATTTTGTCAACGCTTTTTTACATTGCTTTTTGAAGAATTTCGAGAAGCTTTATAACGTTCTCGTTTAGATAACTTTATAGACAAAGCAAGATCTTGATTTAGAATTAATATGTATGTTCAAAGAATGACAATAGATATACAAATTAAAACACAATGTACCTAGATTGAACATTTAAATGTTGTTGATTTCAGCTGAAATAAATTAGAGGTAACTTTAGATTCAGTGAAGGACGAAGATCTGCAGAAGTTTCGAATAAAATGTCGGCATATTTTTGCTATTCTTACATTACAGTAACTCTTCCTCTTTTCGGTTTTATTACATTTCCGTTCGTATTCGGTGAAAGTCTCTTTAATTTCATAGATGTTTTAACAAGCGAAGAGATAACGCCGATTCGAGCAGTACACTCATGTTTGTATAGTTTATCCTGCAAAGTTTAAACTACGCTTTCGTTACTTGATCATGGGATTACTAAATAGACCATACACTAAGTAACGATTTAAATATACGACTTCGACAAACTTCGGATTTACTCGGCAAATTTCGGAAAAACAAACATGGTAGGAATACCTAAATGAGTAACACCTTTTTATATATTAAAAAACTTACGTAGCAGCGACGTCGATACAATCAACCAACATCTTCACATAGCTGTTGACTCTATATTCATATTGGCCCTCAGCGTGCGACTCAAAGGCGTCATCAAAGAAGATATGTGCTATATGAAAAGTTTACAAAATAATTGCAAAATAGTAGAAGATGTAAAAAAACTCATCGAAGATACCAGGCCTATAATTTTGAACACCAGACGCGCGATTTGTCTAAAAAATATTTAGAAATTAAGGTTTCAACATGGGCAACAATCAGCACAACCTTAGAGAACCCTTGTCAAGCTATACATGGGCAACAGTCAGCATAACCTTAAAAACCCTTTTCAAGCTATACATGGGCAAAAGTCAGCATAACCTTAGAAAACCCTTGTCAAGCTATACATAGGCAACAGTCAGCATAACCTTAGAAAACCCTTCTTTACAGTTTGCCCCCTTTGGTATTATAGCTCTTAACATGAAGGTAAATACCTCTGTAAATGAAGTCTGTTAAGGGTTGACATACACGAGTGTAACGTTTTTATTGAAATATGTAAACACCATACGATAGGCGACTGTTATGGTACTGCTTGCAAATGGAAAGTTGACAATTGGAAAGTTGAAATCATTTTCTTTATCATATATTTTAGTTTAGCTGCTGAAGCAATACTAAAGAATAATAGTCCCAGATGGACGGAAAATTACAGGTTTCGATTTCAACGTTCATTTTCCATGTGGTAATTATGGACCTGTCTTATAAAGTGGCATCGGCAAGTTTAAAGATAACATTTTGGACAAAGAAATGTTCCCTGATTCATAAACTCATCATAGATACCAGGATTAAAATTGTGTACTCCAGACGCGCGTGTCGTCTACAAAAGACAAAGCATTGACGCTTGAATCAAACAAATCAAGCACGAAGTTGAAGAACATTGTCGACACACAATTCCGAAAGGTTTCGTTAACTACAGCTAAGGAAGGAAAATTCTTAGTATTTCGAAAAATTCAATGTTTTGTTAACAGTTAATTTTAAATTATGACCATATCAATGATAATTTATATCAACATGGAAGTGCGGACTATTAATAAGAAAGTGTTGTCAAATAATTTATGATAATGACCATATTGATGATAATTCATACAGAAGTGGTGACTAATGGGCTGGAGATAACCTCGGGGAGGAAAGCTCCATCAGAAGTGTCAAAAACCCAGTGGTTGTAAATAAACTCATCATAGATACCAGTAAGATGTCATTGCATATGTATTTCCGTATTGACCTTTTTTGTGGTAGCATTTTTGTTGTATTTTTCTTTTGGTATTTGCGTTTGATATATTGTATGTTTTGTGTTTTTTTTTCCATCTTTGATTTGTTTTAATTACCATGCTGCATGTACAGCACTTTAGAGTATTTTTTATTTTTTACATATGGCGATTTATAGATTTTCGTTATTAGTACTATTATATAAATTATTCTTATGACGTTTTCTATTGAACTCAAAATACTATCTTCATACTTCTCGATATTCCATAATCAAAGATTTGATGTATCAAATAAATACTTCAGTAAAACGTCTTTTGGATTGCTGTCACGTAAAGGAGGGTGCGTGTTGCTCAGTATTTTGTGTTCTATGTTATGTTTTGTATACTGCTGTTTGTCTCTCAATCGTTTTCCGTTTTATTTGCCATGGCATTGTCAGTGTATTTTGAATTAATGAGTTTTAATACCTTTCGCCTCTCTTCAACGTATACCTTATTCTCATGTTGTCATGACAGTAAAATGTATGTGCTGGCCTACCTTCAAATTCATAATAATCTGGGTCTCGGATTCCAAAGTAAAGCTGAAGATTCCGTCTAGCACATTGATCCTCGTCCATTCTGTTAAATTGGTCAATAAGAAATACTAGTAAGTCAATAGATATTACCGATGTTCAAATCTCATATATTTTAATCCCTGTATCTATGATGTGTTTAGTTTCTACTGCATCATATTTGGCGTTTTTGATACTGGTAGTTTAATAAGTTTGTTTGAATTGTTCAGTCAGTTGTGTTGTATGTCAGTGATGGATGTTAACAAAGTTTTGGCTGATGAATCCCAAATATTGTCACATTAACATAGTATCTCTATTTGGGCTGCTACGGAGGCTGCTCGCCCAGTTTTGTTAATTTAACGGACTAACAAACAACTGTCATACAAGTGGGAGGTTAAGCTTGCTATAAAACCGACTTTAACCCACAATTTTCTTCGGAAATGGCTGTACCTAGTCAGGAATATGGCAGTTGTTTTTCGCTTGTTCCGTTGATTGATAGTGTTTGATTTTGTCAGTTTTTATGGACGTCCCCTTTTTGAATTTGACTTTGAGTTTCGTATTTTTGTTATATTCTTTTAGGGAGCTACCATTTGATTTTTATGGGGGGGGGGGGGGGGGGGGGGGGGCAAGGATGAAAAAAATTTTCCTGCATTTGTTTTTTAGTTGTAATCTCTGTCCTGCCATTTTTTTCTATTCGGTCCTGCCTTTTTTTTAATAGTTTAAATTGTCATCCTGCCTTTTTTTTTGCCAAGTTGCTCATCCTGCCTGCCTTTTTTTTTTACTCAAAACTCCTGTCCTGCCTTTTTTTTTAAATTTCATCCTAGCCCCCCCATTAAAAAAAGAGACAAAAGATACCAAAGGGATATATATTCATACTCATAAGTCGAAAACAAACTGTTTTCCCGTTTGAATGGTTTTACCATTGTAATGTTTGGGGCCCTTTATAGCTTGCTGTTCGGTGTGAGCCAAGGCTCCGTGTTGAAGACCGTACTTTGACCTATAATGGTTTACTTTTATAAATTTTGACTTGGATGGAGAGTTGTCTCATTGCCACTCATACCACATATTCTTATATCTATTGACAATGCCATGGCAAAAAAAAAAAACACGAAAAAAGACCAAAAAAACTCATCAATGACGCCGAATCCACAAAGGTAAAAAGCATAGCAAAGTAAGAAATTGAAAAGCATTAAATGCCAAATATTCTAAAAAGTATTGCAAAATAACAAGTTATGGCAATTTATTCCTGGTGTAAAAACCCTTAGTATTTCGAACAATTCAAAGTTTTGTAAATGATTAATTTATAAATATGAATATAAGAATGTTAATTTTGCTTTTCAGTTTTTTTTATATATATAGATAGAACATTTTGAGGATACTTACTGAAAAACTAGGTTTACAAAAGTTCAAGACTAAATCTTTATAACTTTGTATCTTTGAATTTTATCACATAGTTAATATAGTTAATTATAAAAAAAAAGTGTTTCGGTCAACGCTTCTACACACCAATACAATAGTAAAAAGATGCATTCAATTCTCAAATATTTTTTTCTATACCTGCAAATAGACTTGAGAACCTGTGTCATTTCGTTTTGTGTTTCATGCCACATTGTAGCACACATGTATATCATTGGAGTGCTTTCTTTACGTAAAACTGACCAGTCTTCGTTAGGATTGTATTCTGGGTTTTCCGTCCAGTCAGGGATAGGAACCCTCGAAGGCTTATTCTATCGAATATAAAATACAATTAAATAAAATATAATTATATTGAATCAAATATAAGTAAATAAAATAAAATATAATTGAATTGAATTAAATAAAATATGATATAATTAAATAAAATATAGTTTAATACAAAAAGAAAAAATGTGATTAGAACCATATCTCGTATATATCATAGAATATTTTGTTACATCTGGTGATCCGTTTATTTGGCAATCGCCATGGCAGTCAGCAGGGTTTAAGAACATCCGTTGTTCGACCTGCTAGTTAAATGCGTTTTGTTAAAATATACTTTTTCACTTTTTTGGTCATTTGGAAAATGTTGTTTGTGCTGTATTTAGACCACTCTACCAAGAAATTTGTTTTGCATGCTCACGTATAAAAATTGCGGTTTTTATCCAACGCAATCATAGGTTTGAACGTTATTTTCAATTTAGACTTTTTTATATTTTTTCGTTTGAGCTTGTATTATATTTGCCTTCGGGTTTATATAATCCGTTCATCCTATTTCGACTCTTCAAAATTCAAGAGTCAATCCTAAATTGAGGTAAATTATATGGCCTTCCAAATACCGTTTCGATTCCTAACATAACTGAAGAGACATTAATTGTCGAAATCCGGATATGGTGTACCAATTTTTGCACCTCATGTTTACGGTATACCATCTTTTCTACAAGTTTATTGTTTTCTGTTTGGTATTAAATTAATAATTTAGATCCATTTTGTTACATCTGGTGATCCGTTTATTTGGCAATCGCCATGGCAGTCAGCAGGGTTTAAGAACATCAGTTGTTCGACCTAGTCAAATGCGTTTTGTTAAAATATACTTTTTCACTTTTTTGGTCTTTTGGAAAATGTTGTTTGTGCTGTATTTAGACCCCTCTACCAAGAAATTTGTTTTGCATGCACACGTATAAAAATTGCGCTATTTATCCAACGCAATCATAGGTTTGAACGTTGTTTTCAATTTAGACTTGTTTATATCATAGACTGTATATATTGTTCAATTGTTTCCAAATTTTAATTTACTTTCAAGGTTAATTTCATTGGAGTCAAGGTAGGCGAAGAATATATCTCTGTGTGTGCATGTGTGTGTGTGTATGAATGTTTGTATGACAGTGTCTAAATGCCTTTATTTCTTATGCAGCAAAACTACTGCAATCTGATTGGTTAATTACCCCGATGTAAATAACTCCCCACCCTTGTTTATCCCGGGATAAATAAAATTTTGCCAAAAAATTGAAAAATAAAAAAATTTGCCCAAATAAAGAAAAAAAAGAAAATGTCAAAAAGAAAAAAAAAATATAAAAAATAAAATAAATTCGTTATCTTGGTGTACTCAGGGGTGTACGGAATTTTTTCTGCGCCTCAGGGTTATGAATTTTCAACAACGGTGTAAAATTCTGTACACCCCTGATTACACCAAGATAACTAATAATGTTTCAAATAAATATTAAAAACTATAACAACGTTTGAGCAAATAAACTGAAATAATGAAAAAAAGAACAATAGCTAAAAAAATTAACTGAACTTGACATGTATAATTCCGGCTCGATTGAAACCTTGACTACCGAATTAGACCTATCAAATAATCATTGGGTTTGAACTTACAAAAAAAAAAACACGACGGGAGCGACATGTGGAGCAGGATCTGCTTACCCTTCCGAAGCACCTGAGATCACCCCCGGTTTTTTGTGGAGTTCGTGTTGATTAGTCTTTAGTTTTCTGTGTAGTGTTTTATTTTACTGTTGTTTGTCTTTCCGTCTTTTTCTTTTTGTCATGGCGGTGTTTTTTTTTTAGTTTGAATGTCTCTTTTGTATCTTTCGCCTCTCTCACATTGACTAATAAAATTGAGAATGGAAATGGGGAATGTTTGAAATGAGACAACAACCCAACCATAGAGCAGACAGCAGCCGAAGGCCACCAATGGGTCTTCAATGCAGCGAGAAACTCCCGCACCCGAAGGCGCCTTTCAGCTGGCCCCTAAACAAATATGTATACTAGTTCAGTGATAATGGACGTCATACTAAACTCCAAATTATACACAGGAAACTAAATTTAAAAATGATACAAGACTAACAAAGGCCAGAGTATAGTTTAAAAACACTAATATATTACCGATTCTATCGTGGTTTTATATTCCTCGTCGGTTCGCCTTCTATTCAACATGAACGACTGGTCCAATAACAATCCACAATACAATGGCTTAACGAACAGTCTGAAATTCATAAACGACAAGGCATTTACGATGAAAACAAATTTTAATAAAATGTTACAGATACATTTGTTGTAAGTATTGCAGTACTCCAAATTAGTGACACTTCATACACACACAATAACAATAATATCAATAAATTAATAAATGATTTATTGTATGTAAATCCAAATATCATTCCTTATCAAAACGGTTTAAGTTTGAAACTTATGTCTTTATAACAAATATTTGAAGTAGCGCTATATTAAATTTTATGTCAATTTTAACATATTTCTGAAAAAAATCATTAACCCAAAGTACCCTATTATTCTCTATTCTTTTTTTTTTTTTTTTTTTTTGCTTATTGTTTGTCTATTCGTTATATTTTTGTTCTTTTATTCTGCACTGACTCTGTTTGTCGATTATTCTCTATTATGAAAACCTAATCAAGACCCCCATAGTTGGTAATAGTGATTAAGCTATTCAAATCTGCGTGTAAATAGTATGTGACGAGAAATCTCTGAGTCTTTTACAGCCGATTGCATTGAGTGTGTAGGTAAAGGTAATATATTTGGTTAGCTTGCTTGCTAGCTGAACCGTGAAGTCATTATTAGGTAAGGTATACTACCCTCCTTTCGAAGTAGCCTACTCCTACAGACAGATAGATTGCTTATCTGTCGGACTAGTCTACTCTTAAAGAAGGGTAGTTTACCTAACCTAATAATGACTTCATGGTTCAGCTAGCAAGCAAGCTAGTCTAAGATATTACCTTTACCTACACACTCAATGCAATCGGCTGTAAATAAGTTCAAATATCTATTTAGACATCTAGATGGTCTTTCTTTCTTGCGAAATGTTTGAATTATCAGATGGTAGGAACGCAATATGCATTGTAAGTTTATCAGGGAGTCATCTGATTTTATATTATCATATTAATTGTTTAAATTCTTACAATTGTTATCCCGATTAAACATTCATCAATATAATATCATTTTAGCGGAATCACATTGGTATTATTCTTATATGATTTGCAAATTTATAGATAATTGAAGTGATATGACCGTTAGGTATTTTCCCCTTGATTTACACTTCGATACACTTTGTTGCCGAAACGACTTTAATAATCCATGTAAATACTAATATAAAAGTAAGGAGATGTGGTATGATTGACAATGAGACAATAACCAATTAAGTTCAAATGAAGTGGATGTAAGCAATTATTGGCAACCGTACGGCCCTCAACAATGAGAAAAATCTATACTGTATAGTCGGCTATAAAAGGCCCAACATGAAAAATATGAAACAATTCAATTGAGAAAACTAACGGCCTAATTTGAAAAAAAAACAAAAAAAAACGAAAAACAAATATGACAGACATGAACCAACGGCAACCACTGAACTTTAGGCTCCTGATTATGGACAGGCACATACAGAATGTGGCGGGGTTAAACATGTTTGTGAGCGCTCAGTTACAGCACAACATAAACTATAAAAATCAGTTGCAAAGGGCTTAACTCATCAGAACGATACAAAGAAGAAAAACATCTAACAAAAACACAGACCGGACGTGGCCGGGTATTTACTAAGCCGGGTTTACTGTAAAATATTCATACGCGATACACATGGATGGAATTTGGAGTTTCAAGAAAGTAAAAATTGAAAGAAACATTTTAAAAATGTTTGGATTGATAATTATAGGATTTAACACATTTTTTTAGAGGAATTATTATCGTGTAAATTAGGTCGTGAACTCTTTACCATCTTCGGAATTTATATTCACTTTATAACACAGTTAATGGTTGATAACTTCCAGAAAGAAATCCTTTTAATACTATAAAATATTAAAAACAAAGTATTTTTATTAGACTTACTTATCTGTTGATTGGAGCCTTTCTTTCTTTGGAGACCAAATATAATTTGTGATTAGTAGAAGAGATAAATAACTTATTATTCCACCTGTCACCAACGGCCAAATATCGGTAAATCTGTCTACTAAATTTAGTATGGGGTTGTGGTTATTGTCTGTCCAGTGCGGAAATTTAATTTCACATTTTCCAAACCAGAATGTTCCAATATTGTCGTCATAACTTCCGGTACCATTCGAAGACATAAGCACAAATAAAACGACCAGTGCTATTGGCGTTGCCATGGTTAGAGGTAACCCGAATGCCATTCTCTGCGCAACTACTTTGCAAGCTGCCTTCGCTATTTTATAACACACTCCGTTCATTATTATATATACAAGAGCTATCATGAATGGAAACCACTTTTTAAAAGTCGGACATTCATTTAAAATTGTTCCGTCCGTCAAAATGGTGTTCATAATGGACGGTTGGCTTTTAGCTGGGAGATCATCTTTTGGATATTTGAAATACAGCATATTTATACAATCCTGTCCACATATAAGGCTTCCGTGTATAACTGGTAAAATACACGTGGACAAGATTATCTTCCAACATATTGTTATAAATAGAATTTTACTCTTACTTTGCATTAAATATCGTTTCATTTTAGGCAATCCGTCAGAGTATGACCTTCCTTTTGGCACAAAGTTTTCCCACCAGTACACAGATATAAAAACAGATGATAATACTAATAAAATTGCAATAATTTGTCTCTGGTCTTGCGAGACGTTATTTATAAATGACGCAGGAGGATTTAAAATGTAATAACATGTAAGTCCAAGACCTCCTATATGTATTAAAGCAATTACGATATTCATAATAACTGATGCAAAGATTTTCCCAAATTTCATTTGATCCTCTGGCTCCTTTTCATGGCTAGGTAAGCGGTTTCGGGATGGATAGATAATCTTCAATAGTCCCGGAATCGTTCCGACATTTAGAATAACAATGGCGGATATAACCGGATCTAGATTTGGCAAGACAACGAACATTAAGATGTACAATCCAATAGTATGCATTGTTTCAACCAGAAGAGCCTGAAATAATAACAATGAATTAATAAGATTAATTATAATATTGATAATCATAATAATAGGATAGAAAATAAGGATGATAATGATGATAAAAATAAAGATAATAATTACTCAAAAGAAAAACAACTTCTCTTTTTAAAATTGTTTTGTTGTGCTTCGTGTCGATCAGTTAATCCCTTTGAAAGTTTTTTTTCTGGTGGAAATGGAATGGTTGCACACTCACAAACATGATTAGGAATTGACCATGTAATACTCGGGTGGGCAACCTTGACGGAAATATGGATTATGGAAATTAATATACGACCTGGTTAAAACTGACAAAAATATACGGCCTGGATAAAACTGACAAAAATTATTCTTTCCAAAACAGGATGAAAATTAATATTTTGTCCAACAAAGACGGGTTACGTGTATACAAAAGGAAGCAAAAATAAAGCCCCGTAACAAAACTAAGCATTATTCTGTTAAAAAAAATCCCCTAATGAATTTCAAATGCTCGTCCCGTTAATCCCGGTCATGGATTACATCATAAAACAAATCCGTTGGTTTGCTCTTCTAAAAGTTTTCACATTTTGTCATGTCGGGCCTTTTATTGCTGACTGTATGAATTTTCCTTATTGTTGAAGGTTAAACAGTGACGTATAGTTGTGTATATATTCTTTTCTTTTGGTACTAGTGGGTGGCTGTCTCTTTGGCTATCATACAACACATCCTTGTTCTGATAAAGTATATACCCCCCCCCCCCCCCCCCCAAAAAAAAAAAAAAAAAAAAAAAAGAAAAAAGAAGAAAATAATGTTTTTTTATGCATAACTTTCAGTTATTTTGGTATTTGGTGTAACATATTTTACGTTGACTTCTAAATGTCAATAATTTTTATTATTCATATCATTCAGTTGCTGTGTCACGGACGATTATCCTACATTTCTTTATATTCATATGGTAGTGAATAAAGTGATCGATAGTTTTCTGAAACTGCATTATATATCAGTTTTATGTAAATGATTTCTGGGAAACATTAGAAGGTTTAACTATATTTCCCATAATTTCAAAACTATTGTCATTGATTACTGCATGAGATGTGAACATCAGTAAATTACTGTTTGTTTCCTAAATATGCACAAAATATCTGGACACGTATGCTACTTGAATTGGGTTGTAATTAGTGTAGATATTTTTGATATACAGTCCAGTGAATGTCATTGGTTGCTGTTTGTCATAGTTGTTTTCTGTTTATTATTATATGATGAGTTATGCCGTAGGTCATAAATTATGTACTTACTATAACCAAGGCAACTGGTTTAATCGAATTTGTCTTCTTGAAAAGTAACCTGTTCATACTTTTTATCAATGTAAATACGTAAGGCGCTAGCATGCAAACAAGCAAAGCCCATATCCACGTCACTTCCGTTTTACTTGCACTTCCGGTAGGATAGATCACACTTCCGTTGAAGGTCTTTAGAGATGTTTCATTCTGATAAATTGGGACATTTATCTTAGATAACATGTATATAAGCGTTAATTTGGACATAACAGCTGTCAAACATACAATGAGAGCAAAAACCGTGACAACGATAGTTCTCGTGATTTTGAATATGACATTCCAGAAATCAATGTCTGATTGGCTGTTCACATCTTTGGAACGTTCCTCGAACACATCCCATGCTTCTTTTCTATGGAGAAAAATGGAGAGAGAAAATAGAAAGATAATGAATAAAGAAGCAAATTCAAAATATATCCCACCAGCTTCATTGTAAGACAAACTAATAAGGGAAAAATACAAATGTGATAAGAGCTCTTATTTTCACCAATTCCCAACGACTGTCATTGCAAAAATAGTCAAGTTCTCAAAAATTTGTGTTTATTATATTGATATATTTCTCACTGTTGAAGGCCGTAATATGGCCTATAATTGCTTACTACTACTTCATTTTGACTCTGGTAGATATTTGTCTCATTGGCATTCATACCACATCTCCTCGTTTTAATTTATTGATAAATGTAGTTGATTTTATTTTGTTATTTTTCTTTTTTTTTCTTTTGTATAAAAACTGCATACAAATTAGTGTTGCATTATAACATTAGCAAAATGCATTGTAATATTATTTAAGTTCGAACAACACATGTTATGGAGTGATCTGCAATCAGGTTCGCCCTGAGCGGTGAACGTGAAAAATAAAACGTTTGACAGAATTAAACTAAAATAGAAAATAGAGAGAACAGATATTTTATAAACAAAATGTAACATGTTACTAGGTATATTATACTAGCGGAAACTGATCTTCCACCAGAAACAGTGCCGACACAATGGTGGTTTAACATCATTGATATGATTCCCAAGCCCGCAACAAGTGTTACCCTGGTTACTGGGAGACTTTTTATCAGGTACGCTGTTGCTGACCAACAGTTTTAAAGCCATGCATGCAAAATGAGTTTGGAATACCATGAGAGTTACATATTTTACTGCACCAGATGCGCATTTCGATCATTGATGTGTCTTTAGTGAAACTCGAAGCCAAAATACTTGATAATCCAAAAATATAATAAAAACTTTGAAGCGCTGATATAAACGGTAAGGACCAAAGAGTAAAGCCAAACCTGGTAAAAAAACACCGAACTCCAAGGTAAATTCAAAAAGGGGAAGTACATAAAAACCGAAAAAAAAAATCAAATGTTACCAACCTACGGAACAATAAGAATAGAACTGTCATATTCCTGACTTGGAACAGGCATACGGAAGTTCCTTAATTCAAATTTGAAGCATTGGCTAATAAATACACATATTTTTAGGTAACATTTTATATATACAACAGCCTTAGCAAAAATGATATTTAACAAACATCAACATATTTGTAATTATCCATTTTGAGTAAAGCCGGATGATCATTGTGGTATCTAAATATTGATGTCAAAATGTCAAAATCAGCCTATTTTGCAGTTTTTCTTCCAATGCAACAATTTTGAGGACATTGTGTAACTGTGAAAGACAAAAAGAAGAAGAGAAAAAATACTGTCAAACTGAGTCGTATGAACATCTAATGGTTATTACTTGAAACTGTGTCGTGTAATTGTATTTTTATGACAGCACACATATAACCGGAAGAAAAGTGACACTGGGAACTTTTACCATAATTCGAAAAGTGCTTTATATGAACTCTCGATTAAGATTGGATATTTCTATGAACTCTTGTTTTAGTTTTAAACTGAATATTTCTTGTTTTAAAATGTTTCTTTATTCTTAAATATAATGTTTCTTTATTTCAAATACCCAAAGAAATTATACGGTCTTGCGTTTAAAGCAGCCACAGCGTCGATTATATAGATCTACAGACTTTAATGTAACCCGTACCGAAATTCACGGGGTTATACACACATAAAAGGTTGAAACTTATAAAGAAAAGACAGATTAAGAAAAAGAAAATCAATGTAATATTTTCAATAACAATCAGATTTTAAAAACCTGATAGTTACCTGTTTAATATGTATATAGAAGTTGACATAACCAGATGACACAATAAAAGATATTATGACGAATGCAATTTAAGGATGTTCGCTACTCTGTTTCAAAATAACAAGCTTTTTAAAAGACTATTATAAATTGATAGTATATAAATAAAGGAACTGAAAGAGCAGAACAAAATGAAGGGTCCGTGTGCTTGTTTTAGAGATATAAGCCATTGAAAATTTGGCGGGAAATAATTCTCTCTAGACTTTTCTTACATTTAACATTGGCACCCTTTTTCTTTCAAAAATTATGAAAAAATAACAAGGATTTTATAAGATTTTCTAATATGGCTTTTTAAACTATTAGTAATAAAATTATAAAAAGAAAAAGTAGGGGTTAGCGGGGAAAATTTTTAATGACACTACATGGATAAAACCAGAGGATTCCGAATATCTGGCAAAAATTCAAAAACAAGAGGAACAAACATCCTTAAAAGCACTAATAGAAACTAACAGAGGACTTTTGTATATAATTAATAGATTACACGGATAATTATTATTATAAATGCTGCTTAGAAGGATGCCTAATATCTAAGAAAAATACTTGTAACCATATTTTACTTATAATACATAAGTATAATTGAGTAGTAGGTGTACAAAAACATCCCTTATCTCTGAATTTTGATCTTTGATACAACATCTTTTCTTCTTTACTTTTTGTACTCATTTG